ATTTTTGTTAGAATTTTTGTAGTTAATTTGCGAAATATTGAAAATAGAGTATTGTTAAATAGCAAATCAGGTTGGGTGGATCATTCCGACCTAACAATGGAGGTCTCCCAGCGTATGCTCCCAGATTTGGACCAAACTAGCGTCAATCGATCACAAATAAGATCAGGATGAAATTTGCAAATGACACTATCTGCCAATGCTCAAGTGTAGCGGATATATTTGCATAAAAAGAGGAGAAAACGCACCCCCAAGGCTGGCAAATTTTTTATTTTCCAAATTTGCTGAGCATTTTTTCCCCCTTTGGATGCAAATATCTCCGCCAAACTTGCGCATTCGGAGATAGTTCACTCTTTATAAATTTGATTAAAATTTACTCAATTTTGAGTAAAATTTACCCTGGCAAAGGTGAAATTTACTCAAGGTTGAAAGATTTTTGCTCAACCTTGAGTAAATTTTACCTCTGTCGGGGTAAATTTTACTCAATAGTTGCTTTGGTGGCAATTTTACTCAACTGTATTTACAGTGTTCCATTTGCAAATTGCATGCTAATTTAATTTGCGATTGATTGGTACTAGTTTCTTCAAAATTGGAGATCATACGCTGGCAGAACTCCATTGTAATAGATGGAAAAGAAGGAAAATCAAAATGAATAAAAAAAAATGTCCCAAAAAATGAGAAACTTTAACGCCAGATAACGTGAACTTACGTAGATTTACATAAATATGGATTCGTTACAGGTAATATATTTTTTAGTTGATGACACTTGATGTAGACAAAAATTGGCAATTTTACATCTCACCTCGTAACGTTTGAGACGCAAAAGTTTAAAGTTTAGAAAGCGATGCATCCAATTAAATGGGAAGGATTGAATTATTTTCAGTTTTTCGCAAGTCAATAATTCGTTTATTAATTAGTTATTTACTATCGGATTATTTTATTTATTGATTAATTAACTTTCTACTTAACACATGACGACATTACTGCTCAAACTAGTAGACCCAGCATTACTACTCCGCCCATCATAAAATCCACCCCCATGAATCCACCTTTATAAAAAAATCACCAAAATTAATGACCCCGTTTCCTAAAATTGATCAACGTCCACGTCCACGTCGACCTTGTGGGGTGGTAATTGTATTGATCTGGATTTGTTGTAATGGTGGTGTTGGTGGGAAATGTGAGATTTGGCTCGTTCTGTTGTGGGTGTGGCTGTTTTACGGAGGATCTGATACAGTTCCGCACATCGGAAGGAGATGGTGGTCGGATGTCGCCCGTTATGTAACGGGGTTCCTATTAAGGAAATTATTATTTTTTTAAGTCGTTGTTTGACACGCCATAATTTACTTGGTTTTGAAAAGTGTAGCCGATTAGTTCTAAATGAGTTGGCCTCTACATGGTTGAGATTTTAAGCATTTTTGGACTCCCAAATAAATTCTGGATGCAATCATATAAATTCAAATGAAATAAAAAAAAGTTTCAAATTTTTGAGCCAGCTTGTTTAAAACTGATTTACAACTCATTTTGAACTCATTTAAAACTCATTTACAACTCATTTCGAACTCATTTACACTTTGGTCTCAAATTAAAAAAGTTGAAAATTTTGTACGTATTTGAAACTTGCACTATTTCGTTCAAAATTTATCTGGAAGTCCAAAAATGCTTAAAATATCATTTCTGCACGAGTTAATGACTAGTTATAGCGAATTTAAGGTCAACTCATCTTTCACTCATTTATAACTCATCTTTCACTCATTTATAACTCATCTTTCACTCATTTATAACTCATCTTTCACTCATTTATAACTCATCTTTCACTGATTTACTCACTTCAACTACACGATGCATGACGCCCATCGTTCTGATCGTGTTTACGCTATACAAAGGTGATCATGTGGAGGGAGACTGTGTCGAAATTTCAGGTAAATCGGCCGAAAAATTATGGGAAAGTTCATGGAAAACACGGTCACAGCAAATTCACAAAATTTCACAATTTCCGAATTTATTTATTTCCACAATTTCCACAATAAATATTTAAAATTTTCGAAATTGCCGTCTAAATTAACCAAATTTGAAAAAACCTGACACTTTTATAATTTATTAAGGTACTAATTATCAACTTTTTGTATATTTTTCGGATCTTATTCTATTCGAAGATTAATTTCACCTAAAATAAGGTAAGCCTTTATCAAACAATTTTCATAATTTGTATAATCGGCGTTGCAAGTTTCAAAAGTTTTACTAAAATAAAAAATATTGAAATTATTAATATAAGACAAATAAGACAAATTTCCTAAGAATCTAAAATCTATGAAGATGAAACATTTCTTTTAATGTTCAACTTCAGCGTCGTTTGGAAATAAAGTGCATTAATAAGAGAAATGCATATTACAGATATTAAATTAACGGAGCGAGAATTATGATTTGATTTTTATTAAAAAAGATCAATTTCCTAAAAATTTCGCAGCAATAAAATTTCGAAAAATGTTCTAAAAATTTCCTAAACATAAATTTCCTAACTCGTCCTCTTAACTTCAAACTGTACACCGCAAAACTGAGAGGATCAGTTAATTTCATTCCTTTTACCCGAAAAAAGAGATACACATTTTCCTATTTCGTCACAACGAAATAAAATTATGAATTGATTTATGAACTCGTTTTAAACAAATTTCCTAAAAACTTTTCCCAAAATTTCTCAAAAAAACAAATTTCATACACATAAATTTTCTAACTAGTCTCACTTCAAAATACACCTCATATCATTGCATCCCTTTCACCTATAAAATAATGTACATTTCACTTGTGTATGTCGTCACACACAACGGAAATTAAATGAAAGTTTTAATTATTTTTTTCAAAATCGTATAATTCTTTTATTTATGAAAAAAAAACATTTTAAAAAAAAATGTTAAATATTAACGTCGGATGAAAATAAAGTAGATCTGCATTAATACGATGAATAAATTTTTCAGGTCACAAATTTATGGATTTTTTTTCATTAAAACTAACTACGTAGAAATTTCTAATAAGTTTTATAAAAATTTCCAAAAACATTTATAAAAATGAATTCCCTTATAAATCTTGAAATATGCACCGCAAAATTATTTCATATCATCTCTCGAAAAGAGGTTCATTTCCCGTATTTCGTCAATTTAATTTTGTATTGATTAATGAATTCGTTATATTTTTATTCTCAAAATATTGTAATTTTTTGAAATTATGAAAAATGCATTTTATAAAAAATGTTGATCTTTGGCGTCGTATGAAAATAAAGTGGATGCGTTAACATGTAAAAACAATATTCTAGAGAAAGGCTGAGGTGACCTTAATTCGACTTATATGAATTCATTTTTTTTAATAAAATTAATTGGTTAAAAATTTGTTAGAAATATATTTTTGCAAAAATTTCCTAAAAATGCATGTCCTAAATACTTATATCTTGCTTTAAATTAATTACGTAAAATTATGAAATTAAATTATGGATTGATTTATGAATTTTTCCTAAATATTATTGAAGAATTATAAAAAATTAATTTTTACAAAAAAAATGCTCAACTAAGCGCCATATGAAAATCAACGGGTGTGTTAATATCAAAAAACAATATTTTAGATAAAAGTTAGAGTTACTGAAATTATTTAGAATTTCTGAACTGATTTATATTCCCAATAAAAAAATTAATTGTTTTCTAAATTCTTAGAAATTAATTTCCTAAAAATTTCCTAAAAATAAATTTTCAAAAAACTTTTAAAAAATGTTATAAAATGAATTTGCTAAATCCTCAACTTTACCCTCGTAAACAAATAAATTGGATGTTTTAAAACGAAGAAACAATATTCCAGATGGAACTTAGAAATAGTATTTATGAAATAATTTGTATTTTCATTTAAATTAATTACCTAAAAATTTCTTGGAAATCCATTTTCCAAGAATTTTTTCAAAATACATTTCCTTAAAGATTCCTGACACTAAAATCATACCTGTTCCCTTTCATTCATTTGAGGGATTACGATGGTGAGTGATAGTGAATGAAAATGAATTTCCTATCATTTGAATGAAAATGAATGAAGGATTCCGTCATTTCAGATGAATGACTGTGAATGAAAGGATTTCTCACTCATTTCATTTTTCACCCTATGCTTAATACATGGGGCGAAGTGAGAAATGAAGTCGGATGAAGTGAAATGAAATGAATTTGAATGAAAATGATTGAATGTGAATGAAAATCGTCAGTCAAAAATCGGGATGACTGACTTTGGAATGAATACTAAATTTTGGACAGGTATGACTAAAATTTGGATTGGGATGAAATTTGCAAATGACACGATCTCCCGTTTGACAGAGATGATTTCATCCGAAGAGGAGAAAACACGCAGAAAAGTCCGAAAGTCTAAAATCTGTCGACTTTACGGCACATTTTCTCCTCTTCGGATGCAAATATCTTGATCAAACTAGCCCATCGGGAGATCGCATCTTTTCCTAATTTCATCCTAATTAAATTTATGATTGATTTCCACTAATTTGCTCAAAGTCTGAATTCTTACCTCCATTGCAAGAATCGGAAACCAAAATAAATAAGAAAATGTTTTTTTCTTCACAAAAAATGAGCAACTTTAACGCCTGATAACGTCAATTTATGAAGATTTACATAAACATGGATTCATTCCAGATAAATCCATTTCAGTAAAATCCCCATCAAAATTTGTTGAATGTTGTAGAAAAAAGATGAACAATTTTAAGATTTTTTCCTCACTTTACAACGTTTGAGACACAAAAGTAGAAAAATTTGGAAAAATATTAAAATTAAAATAATTTGGAAAAATTAAAAATAAAATTTGGAAAGCGATGCATTAAATCCAATTAAGTAGAGAAGTAAGATGTATTTTTAGTTTTTTGCACAGTGCTAATTAATTAAGTACTCATTTATTCTTTAATTTGTTAATTAATTAACTTTCTATTTATTTAATAATACCAACATCTACTTAAAATATTGGATCTACCTCCATGAAAAAATCACCAAAATTGACGCCGCCGCCGCTTTCGAAAATTAACCTCCGACGCCGACGACGACGACGCGTTGTGATTGTGGAGCCGGATGGTATGCATAATCGATGCATAAATGATAAGAACTTTTGAGTGGTTATCATTTATAAATGTTTTGAATTGTTTTTTCGCAAGTCAGTAATTAATTAATTAACTCATTTATTCTTTAATTTATTGATTAATCAACTTTCTACTTAATACATGACGACATTACTACTCGGATTATTCGACCCAGCATTACTACTCCACCCGTCATAATTAAATCCTCCCCCATGAAACTGGGCGTTATTATTGTAGTTGTGGTGATTCTGCTGCTGCTGGTAGTGGTGGTGGGGGTGGCCACTAATTTGGGGGTAATTTGGGGGTGGGTGTGGTAGTGCTTGTTGGATAAAATGGTCGTCACCCCCATAACCATATGGCGTCGCCACAGATGTCGCCACGACGCCGGGCGTTATGCCTCCCTGACTATTAACTTGTGGCGTTGAATGGTAATGATGGTTAGTCGTACACGCGGAATAGTTGAGGTTCAAGTTGACCTCAAAGTTGAAAATGTCCGACGGTTTAAACGTGTCTTGGGAATTGTTAAACGCGACGAAACTCCCGTTTCCGGTGGGATCTTGGTTAACAAAGTCGTGCTGCGTCGTGGTCGTGGTCGCCACGTGGTACCCACAACTGCAGTAGAAGTGGGGCTGATTGCACCCCGGGCAGAGGGACGACTGGGGCGATGGTTTTGTCGTTGTCGACATGGCGAATTCTTCAGGGTGGATTTGACTTTGGGGAGGGGGTGGATAGTACCAGTCTGGGAAGGGGGAGGTTTGCTGCTGGTGGTTGTGGGGTGGTAATTGTATTGATCAGGATTTATGGTGGGGGTGTTGGTGGGAAAAGTGAGATTTGGCTCGTTCTGTTGGGGGTGTGGCTGTTTTACGGAGGATCGGATACATTTCCGCACATCTGGAGGGGGTGGTGGTCGGATGTCGCCAGTTATGTAAACGGGTTCCTGTTAAGACAATCATTATTTTGTAAGTAATTGTTCGCCACCTCATAATTATAATTTCCCTAAGTAGATTTGCATGAAATTTCGAGTCATCCTCTTTCTCGCCCTATTTGTACGAATTCTCGACACTGTTGTTCCATTATGTATTTAGAATCAAGATAGGATCTCCCAATGGGCACGTTTGGGCGATACATTTGCATCCGTAGAGGAGAAAATGCGCAGTAAATTTAGAAAGTGTAAAATTTGTTAGCTTTAAGGCGCATTTTCTCCTCTTCGGATGCAAACAAACGTGCCCACTGGGAGATCGTGTCTTTCGCAAATTTCGTATGGGCAAATATTAATGGTGACCCTAAGTGACTGAGTGGTATACCCTAAAAACTAACCCCTACGGTTGACTGAATGCCCTTCCCTAACTTGCAAATAACCATCCTTATTTATCTTAAACTTTACCCTAATGTCTCAACATATTTTATTTAACTAAATTATACACACTAAATAAAAATAAATACAATTTACTCAAAGTAAGTTCCTCTTCTAAGATTTCCTCTCAGAAGAGGAAAAAAAGATGATAAACTTTGTGCAAAATTTACCCACCCGTTGGACATTTTACGTACATAACTTTGGACAAATTTTGCACAATGATTGGATAAATTTGACCTTTTGGTTATGTCATCCTCTTTTTTTTACTCAACCTTGAGTAAATTTTACTTATTTTTATTTGGCATGCATTTAAAGCCTCTCCAAAAAAATGGGAAGTACCCTCCCAATATTTCAGAAGGACCCTCCATGGAAAAGTACCTCTCAAAGCTATTTTTGAATTAGGATTTTGGTGGCAAACTACCTCTAAAAATAATGGACGTTATGATTTTCTAACTTTATATAAAAAAGCATATAATTTATTTACAATTATAATTGGTGCTTCCAGAAAAATATATTTTTAACAATTACATGGTAATTAAGGCTTTTGTGGACTTCGTAGGTCGTCCACGCTTCCTCTTGGTACCCAGTGGTACAGTTTTAGCTTCAGGACAAACATCGAAATATTCTTTTTTAATTGCCAGACCAAGTACATGTTTACAAATGTAGTTTTTAGAAAAACTTGGACATGTGCATGTCGATTTTTTCCAATCAGTGCAATCAAATCGAACTAACCATATTCTACTCATTGTAAATTTATAAGAATCGAAGGATCTCCATGAACGTTTTTCTGTTAGGCGGAGGAACTTATTTATGTCTTCCTCCTTAACTTTCGGTTGATTATTTGGCGTGACGAAGAAGGTGATTATATTCCCACAAGTGCGATATTTAACGTCAGGTTTGCTCTGCCCCCAATTGAAGGCATCAGTTTGGAGTCTCAGGGTCAAAGTCGGGAAAGTAGCAAAAACTTTAGACTCAGCGTGGATAGGATTTCTTTGATTGGACCAAGCGGATGATTGATTCAACATGAATTTAAAAAGCTGTGCCATTGGTAGTCGCTCTCTAAAAGTACCGTGCTGCTTAATCCATTTATTTGTTGCTTCCAAACCATTATTGGTACTAGGATACCCCATCGCCTTTCCTTCATGCCAACCAGCACGTTGATTTACATGCTCTTCCACGAAGTATGTATAAAAGTCGGTCATCAAAGCATTATATGCGTATTTTTTACACCATAAGCCGGCAGCGATCGCAAAATCTTCATCCGACTTCGCAAGTTGTAGTAGAGAAATGTCACCCCGAACGTCAAACCATAGTTTTTTGTCTTTAACTAACCCTCTTTTAAGATCAATGTTTTTTGTTAGATGAAACCAACAATAAACACGAGTAAACTCATCACCAAAAACATGGGTAAAAGCCTTGGTGATAGCCTCAGCTGCATCCGCGATTAATATAGTTGGTTGATAATTCATCCTTCCATTTTTTATGCTGTCGAACAGGAACTCGAAATCTTTGGACGTTTCACTACCACATGCAGCGATCCCTACGGGATGGAAGACCTTGTCCTTATCCGAAATACCGGCAACAAGTACGGGAAAACCCTCCCAGCAAAGCATGTATGTGGCATTGGAGTGCAGAGCCTTCGACAGTGTTGTCAAATCAAGTAGTCTTTCCGTTGAAATAAAAACTCCGAACCATTTATTAATGTAGTCCACTTTATAGTTAACCACGTAAGCTGTGTCAATGTCATTAGGCTCGTGTGATAACTTAATGCACTCGGCTTCAAGGGCTCCGAGTGAGACAATGGGTGGAGCTTCCTTTCCCCGGTACGTAGTAAGGAAATTAGTTAATTGAGATTTTAAAGGAGGTTCAATTCCGCTCCGCTGCAATGCGTTGATAATGGCATTTGGTTTCTTTGTTCCATTCTCTAACAGCTTAATGATTTCCGATTTCAATAGTTGTGGTAAACCTAGTTCAAGAACTTATTTTATATTCGGTAAGTTTAAATGTGTAAAACAATTTATCAATTACCAACCTCTGACTTTCTTCGGGATATGATCGTGTCCAGTTACTGTTTTCTCTACGTTAAAACTGGTGGAGGTCAATGAGAGTACAATTCTCCATTTAGAAGAACATGAAATTGAATTCTTGCATACAAATTTTAAAACTGTACTGTCCTTTGTTTGATATTGGTTTTGGTAAACCCACTCCTCCTTCGCTAAAATGAATTGCTTTGCATCGTCAATATTATTTAGCTCAGCAATATGTTCCCACACACTATTTTTTTTTGCTTTTTTTATTACTGGGCCGTCCGACTCAGAGGATGTATGATTATCAAAATTTAATGTTCTAGTAATGTCAGCCATTTTTTCACTTTTTTAAAGTTTTTTTTAAACTGGAGGATGTGAATTGACAGTCAAATTGTGAATGAATGTCGAGTTGTGAATGAACCTTCCAAGGTTGTTGAGTCAGAAAGGTAATAAGATCAACCACGGATAAGAAATTAACATAAAATTATGATATGCAAAATGAGAGGCTCGTTCCATTTAACTGGAGAGAAAATTTAGAGCATTTAGAGGTTGCTTTCCATTTAGGCTACTTCTTAAATATTTGGAGGGTAATTCCCATTGTTTTGGAGAGACATTAAATTACTTCCTTTTTATTTAGAGTGTTTGTAGTTCGTATGTTGGTTGATTTCTCCATGTAATTGTCAATTATTTCAATAGCTACATATTTGTGAGCATGTACACAATAATCCGACTAGCATACATTCGCAGAGATTTTAATATCTCCCATATTTAAAAAGATGTATGTACCTCTTGGGTTAAAACGTGGACCAGGGAGCCCAAAGAAATGCAAGCGAACACTTGTTGTTGCCTAATTTTTTATTAATTTAAGACCCAATTCTAAGAAATGGTTTTGATAAATGAGAATCGAGATGGAATTGCCTTAAAAATTATGTAAATTAACGATTTTTAACCCTGAGAACGTTAGGGTCGAGATTCATTTATTAGCTATTATTTTCGACCTGTTAGGGAAGGCCATTCAGTCCACCGTAGGGTTTACTTCTTAGGGTATCCCATTCAGTCACTTAGGGTCGCCATTAAATGTGACCCATTTCGTATTAGTTAAATTCGTTATCAATTAACGCCAATTGGCTCAAAAATCGGAGAGCATACGCTGCGTGACCTCCATTTTGAGAAAGTGGACGAGGCAAAATTTCATGCAAATTTCATAAATCTTTCCGTCAATAATGATTTTTTTTATTTCTTTCTGAATCGTACCTTTTTAATTTTCCTCGGTTTTCGGGTCGATTTCAAATTTCGAAAAGCAGGGCTCTTATTATTTCGACGACCCCCACCGACCCGGTGCGGTGTTGACCTTGAGCCTGGTACGCCCACGCCGTCCCCACAATTTTTGACGACTTTGATCCCCACGGTTTTCCGAACCTCGACGTTATTGTTCTTCACTTCGGGGCGGGGATGGTCGTGAACTCCTTTCGCCTAAGGAAACATTTCACATTTATTTACATTTCTTCAAAATTTATTACGATTTTCAAAATATTCTTAACAAAATTTCATAAATTATGAAAAACACATTTTTAATGCACAACTTTAGCGCCGTGTGGAAATAAACCGAATATGTTATTTAGAAAATACTAGGAACTTAGATTATTCTTTTCTAGAAATTTAATTGCATTTATTTAAAAGTTTCTTGGAAATGCATTTTTGAAAAAAAAACTCCTAAAAATTTCGAATAAAAAAAACTATGCAAAATAGATTTTTATAAGAAACATGTGAAATTTTAGCATGAGAATAAAGTGGATCTGGATTAATTCGAGTAATTAGTATTTTAGGTTGATAAAAGATTTAGCTACATAGATTTATGAATCTTTTTTTTTCATTAAAATTAATTAATTAAAAATTTCCTAGAAATATATTTTTCCCTAAGAATGTTCCCAAAATGTATTCCTTAATCTCGAAATATGCAGTGCAAAACTAGCTTAATTTCAAATTTCCTAAAGATAAATTTCCTAACTCGGTTTGAAATACGCCGCAAAACGTGCTTCATTTCATCCTTTCTACAAGAGGCATTTCCCATACATCGTCACAAGTGAAATTAAATTCTGGATGGATTTATGAAGCTTTAATTATTTTTTGAAAAATATTTGGATTTTTTTTTCAAAATATTTTAAACTTTTTTGAAATTCATGAAAAATACATTTTTAGAACAAAATGGTCAACTTCAGCGTCACATGAAAATAAAGTGTGTCCGGATTAATACGTTCAACCAATATTTCAGATGACTTAAATTTTCTGTTCCTGATTTTTTTTGTTTTCATTAAAACTAAATACCTACAAATCAATTTTAGAAAATTTCCGAAAATTGTTATAAAAATGGATGCCCTAAATTTTTGTAAACCGTAAAGAAATTAAGTATAGATGCGAATATGTAAACATTTGTGCGTTTCAAATTATGAACAGCATTTCTTCCCTAAAAATAAATCCTTCATAATTTCTTCAAAAGTACAGAAATTTCCTAAAAATAATCCCATTTCGAAATACACCACAAAACTGGATTAATTTCGTCCCTGAAAAAAAGTGCATTTCCCTTATGTTGTCACGAGTGAAATATTATAAAAAATTATGAGAAATTGAAAAATAAATTTTTACAACAAAATGGTCAACTTTGGCGTCACATGAAAATAATGTGGATGAAGTAAGATTAAGAAACAATATTTTATTTTAGATTCGAGGATAGCTGAAGCGACCGTTTAATATTTTCCTAATCACCTAAAATTTTCATAGAAATTTATTTCCTTAAAATTTCCTAAAAATAAATTCTCGTAAAATGTTTATAAAATAAATCCTCAACTTTAGTGTCGAAGAAAGTAAATAAATTGGAAAGAATAAACAGTATTTCTGAAAGTTTCTGAAATTCTGTTTATGAACTAATTTGTATTTTCTTTTAAATTAATTACCTAAAAATTTCTTGGAAATACATTTTCGAAAAACGTCATCAAATTGTAATGAAAAAGTTTTACCTAAATCTTGAACTTAAGCTAGATTTGTGTCCCAAATTGTACTAGAATTATGAATTAAATTTCTTAAAATAAATTCCTCAAACGTTCTTATAAATCAATTTCTTAAAAATAAATTTCCTACAGCCAAATTTCCTAACTCATCATTCCACTTCGAAACTGATAATGGAGGTCTCCCAACAGATTTTGACCAGACTAGTGCCAATCAATCACAAATTTAATTAGCATGAAATTTGCACTTCCCATTCTGAGAAAATCCCTCGAAAGAGGCATTTCCCGTAAGTCGTCACAATTTAAATTTAAACATTGATCGATTCATAAATCTGTTTTAATTATTATTTTTTAAATATTGTATTTTTTAAGTTATGAAAAATACATTTTTACAAAAAATGTTAAACCTTAACATCGTATGAAAATAAAATAGGTCTGCATTAATGCGACATACAAATATTTCAGGTTACTAAAACTTAACAATTCTAGTTTATTATTTTAATTGAAATTGAATTCCTAGAAATCAATTTTAGAAATATTTCCTAAAAATGTTATAAAAATGTATTCCTTAAATTTTTACAATCGTAAGGAAATTAAGTGGATGTGAATATGTTGACTAAACATAACTCAGATGTGCTTTTCAAATTATACTAAAATTATGAACTACAATTCTTCCCTAAAAATAAATTCCTCAAAATTTGTGAATTCGTTGTAATTATTTTTTCAAAATAAATTTAAATACATTTTAGAAAAATTTCCGAATTTTCTAACAATGTCACAAAAATGAATATTATAAATGTTTAACTTTAACGTCGTATGGCAATGAATTGAACTTGTTAATATTAAACAATATTTAAGATACAAAAAAGTTAGAACAAGTGAAATTCGACTGATTTTATTTTCAGTTAAATTAACTGCCAACAAATTTCTTGGAAATACATTTTCGAAAAATTTCCAAAGAATTAATTTCCTAACAATAAATTTCCTAGCTAATCTCATTTCGAAATACACCCAATTTCATTTCATCCCTCTCGTTTGGGAAAAGCTAATACTTCTACTAAAGCTAATTTACTTCTCCTACATATGTCGTTACGCACAAGTGAAATTATGGATTAATTTACGAATTTGTTTTAAATAAATTTCCTAAAAATATTTTCAAAATTTCCCAAAAATAAATTTCCTAAATCGTCTCATTACGAAAAACACATTTCATTTCATCCCTCTCACCTGGAAAAAGATGGCGTTTCCCGTATGTCGCCAGAAATGAGTGCATGGAAAACCTACATAATTTTTAAATTAATTCCCGTCTTATCCTCCGCCTTGATAAGACCTTATCAATCATCCCCACATTTTCCCTACTTACCCGAGTTTCCTTTGCACGCGATAAGTATAAGCGAGCCCCCGCCACACTTTGGATTTGGACAGGGTCTCCCCAACTGTTTTTTTCGCGCCTTGTCGCAAATCGCGGGGCGCAGGCGCAGCTCGCCGCACGCCGTGGGGCCGCCCAACTTGCACCTTTTCGAACACATGAGGACGCCCAAGCAGGATTTCTTCAAGATGTGAACGTTATGATTGTTCGTGTTCCGCATGGCCCAACCAGAACTGCGATTTTGGATTTTTTTAATTAAAATTTTTGCAAATTCTGCCTCAAAATAAGTTGATAATTAGATAGAATTATGTTTTTATTATCAAACTGGTAGTTCGATTTAGTACTAAACGGTAATAATAATTATCTCGAAAAGGGTGAACAAAAATGGTAACTAAATTCCCAACGTTTTCACCATTTTTTTACAGGATCAAAAAATTTCAACCCTTAATAATTATAAATTTTAGATTATTTGTCCAAAAAATTATTATTCAAAATCGTACCAATATCTATTACCAATTTTATTACCGAATTTTGCTCTAAAATTTTATTGCCAATTTTATTACTAATTTTGCTGAGAGAAATTCCGTTACCAATTTTGCTACTGAATTTTGAATTTTGAATTTTGCTCCCAATTTTATCACTAATTGTATTAATTCTATTAATTCCAATTTCATTACTAAATCTGCTACCGAATTTTGTTGCCAAATCTTATTACAGATTTTATTACTAATTTTGTAAATATAAAGTTTTATAACAATATAATTCTAACTTTACTACCAACTTTTTCCATATTGCTTACCTGTGACGCCGAGCTGTAAAAATTCACAAAAAGTTAGTCGTTCCAATTTAAAAAAAAGGTATTAAAAAGTTAGGTTTGGGATTTTTCTTTATTTTTGCGATAGGTGTGAGATTTTTCTGGTGTCAAATCCGATATATTTTTTTTGTATTTAAGAATTTTTTAAAATTTTAAAAACCTAAATTTAGGTTCATGTGCGTGGGATTGGATGATTCTGCGCCAAAATCAGGACATTCTTTTAAATCATTTCTTCACTCTGGGAATTTATTTTAAAATTCTGGACGACAGATTTGCCGTCGGTGAGTTGATTGATGGAACGGCGTTGAGTTTTTTGAACCAGTTTCGACGAGTTCCAATTTTTCTGAAAGTTTCTTAAACTTGAGATCTCCTCCTTCAAAAAGTGTCAAAATCTGGAGTGTAGATTTTTTTAAATTGGGAACGACCTGCTCAACAAGTTTGTCGTCCATAATTTTTAAATAAATTCCCAGAGTGGAGAAATGCTTAAAAATGTGGAGATTTTAACTATTTTAGCGACGAGTTATCGAATTCAGGTCGTTGTCGTTCCCAATTTTTTAAAAATACACACTCCAGATTTTGACCCTTTTTGAAGGAGGAGATCTCAAGTTCAAGAAGCCTTCAGAAAAATTGGAAATCGTCGAAACTGGCTCAAAAAACTCAACGCCATTCCATTAATCAACTCACTGACTGCAAATTTGTCGTCCAGAATTTTAAAATAAGTTCCCAGAGGCGAGAAATGATTAAGATTGTGCTGATTTTGACCATGAGTCTCATTAAGTCCTAAAGAGCATCCACTAAGGTTTTTGACTGACGCAATAAAATGCTCAGAACTTTTTACACAGTTAATGTAATTTCAAAAAAATTGCATATGTTTACTACCAAAGGGTTTGGATTGCCATACAGTTCAAATTTTAATGATTCAATTCCGCCGTCTGCTACAGATTGCATTTTCTTCTTCCGATTTCGCGTCAAATTCCTCCCATAGACTGCACCTTCTTTCAAGCTGATTTTCTTCCATGTGTTCTTAAATTTTCGTAAGGTGTCTGGCGTTTCTGAAAGCTTAGAATATTTGGACTTAGTCAGCGCGCAGAATTTCTCAATTGGTCGCAGTTGAGTAAAATTTGGTGGGTTTCCAGTTTTTGGCACAAATTCAATTTTTTTCAGATGTCGGTACTGAGTGACCTTTTTGGCGTCATGGGACCTTGCGAGGTCAGGCCAAAAGAAAACTTTATTTTTTTATGATCTTTGGTAATAAACGATTCCAATCCCCCTTTAATACATGATTAAAGATAAACCCCCTGGTTTATAGTACCCTCCAAAATGACGGGATCGGAAACATGACCAATGCAAGACATGTGTTGCCAAATTCTTCATTGTTTTGTGAATTGGTCTTTCTTTTGGACTTTGTCTTCATAATTTACTTCACAGGGGTTGGAACTATGAAAAAAATGCCTTCCTGGAAGATTTGAAGTGTCATCTGTGACGTGGGGCTCATCGTCCATGATGACCACGTTTGCCCGAATTTTCTTGCATCACATATGAATCATTTCATTTTGTGTTGGTTTGTAATTTGGTGCTGGTTTTTTTCCCCTGGCTACAATCCCTAGTTTATGGACTTTGATTTTGCTTAGATAGCTTTTTGAAATGTTGACCTTCCTTTCCGCTGTAGCCATTGTCGTTGATGGATGATTTTTGAAGATTTTTTAAATCCGATTTTTGACTTTTGCCGTCGCTAGCTTCACAGGTCGACCAGTAGGGAATTCGACTTTATTGGATTCCTCGTACTTTTTTATGTAAGAATTGACATTTGAATGCGGAATACCTTCTTGCTAGAAAAATTGCCAAGTGATTTTAGAATCATAGTTTGTTCGATTTTTATGAAACTCAATCACTCTTGTTTTCAACTCTTGCCTTTCAACCCAAGTTTTTCTAGTCTTAGCCATGACTGGATAATTGGTGACATATATCGATGGAAAGCTTATAACTTGGTCTATTCAAAAATAATTTTTTTGAAATTTAATTTCGCTGTGTTGGCCCCTTGCGCGCCTATGACGGGGCAGTCAAAAACCTTAGTGGATGCTCTTTATGTTCACATTTTTAATTATTATTTTTTTTCATACCGGGTTCGGAATTGATGGGGTAGACGAGTCGGATGTGGTCATCGGGCCAGTCTTGATAAGCGTCGTGGTGGTTCACCGTGTTCGGAATCGTCGCGTCGTTTATGTCCCATTCCATCATGCAAATTGACGTCCTGCTCGTGGGCATATAATTTGTCCAGAATTTTGTATCCCCTTAATTAGTATGCGGAACACGTGCTAATTTGTTGTATACAATTTTGAAAAAATCTAAAATTGGAGAAACTTGTCCTTTATCATTTTGTCCTCGTTTTAGGAATTTTTTAATAAAGCAATACAGAATTTTTTACCCCCTATTATGTAGACCACGTGCTAATTTTTTGGCCAAAATTTTGAAAATTTCATCATTTGGAGAAACTTACAAAGAATCCTAAAAAAATCACTTTCTCATTTGCAGAATTCTTCTATAAACTTGTGCATAATTTTTTATGCTTTATGCGCGTTAATTTTTTAAACAAAATTTTAAAAAGTATTTTAAAAAAATTTGAAGAAACTAGTTGCTTAAAAATCACTATAAAAAATCACTTTCTCTTCATTTTAATAATTCTATACATATTGAGGTTTTTCAGTTGGACAAAATTTAATTTTCCAATTTCGAAATTTTACAGAAATTTCTTTCTCAAAATTTGTAATAATATGCGAGAGAGATATTCCATGTAGAAAACTGTATATATATCAATTACACACGTTTAATCTCACATTTCGAAACGGGGGCAAGGTGAGACTTTTACCGTAAAATGCACAAAAAAACCACACTAATTTTATAATATAACTAATCCCACAATACTTCCGTGTTCTCTTATCATTTTAAAAAGTAGACATGAGTGCTCCCAGAAAAATTACGTTATCAATTAATTAAATTCACGATTAAATTCTAGCCTTTTCTCTCACTTTCACCAATACGTTCTCCGAAAAATGTGTAATATATATTTCACTCTTTTACGTAATTCTTTAAATATTAATCCGATTTAAATTTTGGGTATTTTTTTTTATTTTCACTTAATTTCCAGTAATTCTGAATTAATTATGTATTAAAATCCGACCTGTGAAATCTCCACGTCCCACTTTACCAACTTCCTTTAAAATCGTAAAATAAATATTTCACTTGTTTAATTCTTTAAATAATCATATCTTAATCATATCTATAATCATATGTGGATTTAATTCTCTTAATTTCACATAATTTTTAAAATCCGATCCTCTGCAAATTCCCGAAATCCAACTTGAGTCTCACTTTTATCAACTTTCTCCAAAAAAACGTGTAATTAATACTTGATTCGTTTAGTTCTTTAAACAATTACATGCTTAATTACATGACTTAATTTTCTTAATTTCACAGAATTCCTTTAATTACTCTGTACTAAAATCCGATCTGTTTCCGAAATCTCTGTGAAAACTTTTTGTCACGTTGGTTGCACTTGATCTGGACCCGAAGCGAGACAACCCTTCCACTTGATCCGACCGGACATTTTATCCACCCCGTCATCGTATCGGGTAGTCCATAAAGTAGCCCTCCCATCCTCAAGGAGCCAAGTGCGTACGTAGGTTTACTTGACCCAACTAAATCTCTACCTCATCTCATCTATCTCTCCATAAAACTCACCGTGTAATCTAATCAGTAGCAGTAAGACCAGAAAACCAGCTTCTGTCTCATGAATCACGTATGTATAAAATCCAGTAAAATCTCATCTCTTCTCTCATTCCGTTATGGCTGAGACGGAGGCAAACTGAGACTGGAAATTTGCATGCAAATACATTTGTACGATAAGTAGTTATCAAAATCTACACCAATTCATAATATATATACATGCATTAAAATGTTATTACTTACTTATCAAACTTGTTTTGTAGAAGTCTATAACTTGCTACTAGGAGGGGTAGGACAATGGGGAAAAGTGAGACTGGAGATGCCTTTACATCGGTTAATCTTTACATAATTAAGTTATGAAAACCAATATTAATCATCAATTTACACTAAAATTTTAGAAAATCAATTTTGGAAACTCGAAATTGTAAAAATTATCAAAATCATTGTACATTTTTTCTTTCACTTGGACGCCGATACGAAAAAATGTACAAAATTGGTAACATTTATTATACATTAATCAGGTGAAGTGAGCTTTCCATGTTTAGATTTTGTATGGATGCAAAAAATCCGAAAAATGAATTTCGATCCGAAAAATGTAATTTTTTGAAAAATTTTCCAGAAAATTTAATATTAAAAAAGTATAAAATAATGCCACATAAGAAATCACTACATTAAACATACGC